TCGTGTAGCGACATAGCTATCAGGTGACTTTCCTATCTAGAAAACTCCATGTTTTTTTATTTTTAAAAATGATCCAATTATCGAGGGACTTGCTCATCAAAAAAAATTCTTAGAAAACTTCACACTTTTCTAAGAAATTATTTCAATATCAAGTAATCGGCCCCTCTTAAAATTCTTCACGCTTTTCTAAGGAATGGTCTCAATATCGGGTGACCTGCCCATCTTAAGATTCTTAGAAAACTCCACGCTTTTCTAAGAAACAGTCTCAATATCAGGTGACCGGCCCATCTTAAAATTCTTAGAAAACTCCATGCTTTTCTAAGAAACGGTCTCAATATCAGGTGACCTGCCCATCTTAAGATTCTTGGAAAACTCCACGCTTTTCTAAGAAACGGTCTCAATATGAGGTGACCGGCCCATCTTAAAATTCTTAGAAAACTTCGTACTTTTCTAAGAAACGGTCTCAATATCGGGTGACCTGACCATCTTAAGATTTTTAGAAAACTCCACGTTTTTCTAAGAAATGGTCTCAATATCGGGTGACCTGCTGACACGACTAAAAGATTGATGTCTTCTCCCGAGTGCAGGAGTGTTGAAGTAATAAATAACCCAGCAAGACCAGGGTTGAACCACAGGGAGGTTAATTGTACAAATTATAAACAACAATTATAAATAACAATAATAACAATTACAAACAATAAGAGCAATAACAGCAATAACAATAATAATAATAATAACAATAATAATAATAATAATAGTAATAGTAGTAGTAGTAGTATTAGTAGTACTAATAATAATAATAATAACAATAATAGTAGTAGTAGTAGTAGTAGTAGTAGTACTACTACTAATAATAATAATAATAAAGAAAGAGAAGAAGAAGATGATGAGAACTTCGAGATGGAATATTAATGTAAAGATTAAACAATGATAAGAACAAATGTTAAGGTTAGAGGTTCCACTAATGGTATGTCAAACAAGTATAGTATAAACTCTTATTAGTCAATTGGAAACCACACACAAAGGAGGTTCCAATTAAATTATAGTAGTATAAACTCTTATTATTGAATTGGAAACCACACACAAAGGAGGTTCCAATCAGATTATATATTGTTAACATGATTACATTAGTCATCTTATTCAATTAATGCTAATACTTGTAAATCTCGTCAAGCATTCATGATTATAACTTATGTTAACAACAAATCAAGTTCCTTTCATAGCTCAGGTGTCGGTTATACCATACATTATGGGCTATGAAAGTGCCAAGCATTTGTTGTACCAAGTGTTATACAACATAAATCAAGATTAGTTATTTAACAAGCAAAGTATTAAAGAGTGAACAAGATAACAAATACAAAACATGTTAGTATCAAACATTAAAGTCCATATTAAGTTTACATTATACTTATTCTTACACCATTAGTGTAACCTTTTCACCTTGACATAATAAACTTAGCTAGACATAATGAAAGAAAGAAAAATAAATAAACAAAATAAGAACATAAATAAGATAAGAGTTAACTAAGTAAATGAAAGGATATGAAAGGCATAAACTTGATATTAATGAAAGCAAAGTATAAACATGACAAAAAATACAAAGAGAGAAAGCAAGAGCATGATCTTGATCTGGACACCAAGATGCCTAAATGCATGGCAAATGCCTTCTTTTATAGGCCAAAATTGGGAACTATTGATTTGATGACTAATTGATGAGTGGGTAGCCAACTCTTGACTTGGTGACAATCCTTATCTTATCTTGTCTGCCCAAAACATCATTGATAATGTTAAAATTGGAGCCACACGAAAACATGAAAGTTGTAGGCAATTGTCTCAACTTTCTTGTGTAAAACATTTAGCTCATTTGGACTTCTAGAACTCCAGATATGGTCAAAGTACTGAACAGTGCTCGGGCTGGAGGACAACTTCGGGCTTCTTTGTTGTTGCTACAATTTGGACTTGAAAATGACCTTTTTAGATATTGGGCTCCATATGAAAGTTGTAGGCCTATGTCTTACCTTTCCATCCATATAAAGTGGACCTAAATCTGAGATTTATAGCTCCAGATATGACCTAATTACCGAACAGTATTCCAGTTTGGATTACACCGACATCTCTTTTCTAATTTTGGTCATCTCTTTGCCCTTGCAATTTAAGTTCTTAAAGTCATCAATCAATCCTTTCATTTATGTGATAAGCATGCATTTAAAATGAATATTTACCAAAAATTAAAGGTATCTTATATTATTAGATATATTATTATAAAACATGCTTTAGTTAAGGAGTTATTGATACTTCAAGTGCAAAATGATGATATAAAATCATGATAAAAATGCACTTTTAAGTACTAATCACCTGTCAATCTTAAAAAAGTTTTAGAAAACTCTACGCTTTTCTAAGAAATAGTCTCAATATCGGGTGACCTACCCATATTAATTTTTTTTTTGAAAACTCTACACTTTTCTAATGAATGGTCCCAATATCGGGTGACCTGCCCATTTTGAACTTAAAAAGAAATCATCTTACCTCAAGGAATGAAGTAGTGCTGGTTGACAATTCTTATCCTTTTCTATGGTTTTGTTGACCTGAGATTTTGGACCTCAGCGGATTTTTTTTCAAAAAAAAAAACTTGAAACTATTTTGGCCTTCGTCACACCTTCTCCTGCCAAGTTAGTGTTATGACAATATAGCATGCATGTTTTTTGTTACCTATTTTGGAAACATAGGTCCCCCCCCCTTTTTGTTGTAGGCTTATTGAGCTCTTGTTTCCATTTGTTTGTCCGACTCATCCTCTTGAAACAGAATATGCTCCACGCGTTATACTTCCTATCCTCTTGGTGAAGAGATCTTTGATTCCTTATGGGGCCCTCTCTTGCTCCATTGAGTATTGTCTTTTATTATTATTTTAAAAGGAAAACTCAAAAGATTTGGTTTTGTTCATGAAAACTGAAACTTTCAATGCAATTAGCAATTCTCATAAAAGATGTTTTTTTTTTTTAAGTTTTTATGATGATACCCCTTTGGGGCTTTGGTTCACTATGGACCCCTATGTACACTTCGTGCACTTCTTGCCCTTAGTCTGGTGTGCAAAAATACGCCAAGTTTAGATTTGATTTAGTTCTCTCCAATTGATGGAGTCATCTCCTTAGTCATGTGTAAAAAAAGTTTGTTTAAGTCAAAGATTTCAAATGTTATGAGATCATGCGTTTTATGAAGAAAGGTGCTTTACAAAGAAAATTCATGGCCAAACTTTATTTTATTAATTGGCAGATTACGGAATACATCAAGCGTAATATTTCCTCACAGAATCAGAATTCATTGGCCTAACTAGATCTTCTCCATCCATTCTAGATAACAACAAAGCTCCTCTCGAGAATGCTTTCTTCACCACGTAAGGACCCTCATAGTTCAGTGCCTATTTACTTCGATCTTCTCCTGGTAAAGGCACTATTTTCTTTAGTACAAGATCTTTTTCGTGGAATCCTCGAGGTCAAACCTTTTTGTCATATGATTTGGCCATCCTTCTTTGGTAGAGTTGATGATGATAGATTACGACTATCCTTTTTTCACTGATCAGATTCAGCTGTTCATATCTAACTTTTATCCATTCTACCTCTTCTAGTTCAGAGTCTACCAGTACTCTTAATGAGGGGATTTCCACTTTTAAAGATATAACCGCCTCCATTCTATATACCAACATGTACGGGGTGGCTCCTGTTGAGGTTCGAACTGCGGTGCAATACGCATGAAGGGCAAATGACAACATCTCATGTCAATCCTTATAAATGACTACCATTTTTTGAATAATCTTTTTGACATTCTTGTTAGTAGCTTCTATTGCACCATTCATCTTTGGTCTATACGAGGAAGAGTTGGAATGCTTGATTTTCCATTTAGCGCAGAGTTCTATTATCATCTTGCCATTAAAATTCTGGGCATTATTAGTTATAATCTTTTCTGGTGGACCATATCGACAAATCAAATCTCTTTTAATAAATTTCTTCACTACTTTTTGCGTCACATGAGCAAATGACCCGGTTTCTACCCATTTTGTAAAGTAGTCAATAGCCACGAGAATAAACCTATGACCATTGCTGGCTTTTGGGTTTACAGGTCCAATCACATCAATTCCCCACATCGCGAAGGCCATGAAGATGTCAAGTTAAATAGAGGAGTTGGAGGGGCGTTGATTTTGTCACTGTATACTTGGCACTTATGACACTTTCGGACTTAGTTAATGCAATCTTTCTCTAATGTCATCCAGAAGTAACCGGCTCTTTGTATCTTCCTAGCCATCACGTGTCCATTAGCATGGGTTGAGCAAATTCCTTCATGGACTTCTCGTAACACGCCTTTTGCCTCAAATTCATCCAAACATCTCAACAAAGTCTCGTCGAATGATTTCTTATACAAGATCTTCTTATCAAGATAAAAATCTGTTGCCAACCTCCTTAAGGTCTTCTTGTCGATCTCGGATGCCTTCATAGGATATGCCTGGTTTTGGATGAAACTCTTGACATCATAGTACCAAGGGTTTCCATCCACTTCTCTTTCGACTAAGCAACAATGAGTTGGGTTATTTCTGATATTGATGTGTACTGGTTGTACCTTGTGCCCAAAGTCTATTTTGGCCATAGATGTTAGTGTAGCCAAAGCATCTGCAAACTGATTTCCTTCCCTTCCTAGATGGGTGAACTCTATTTCCTCAAATTCTCCAGCCAGTTTAGATAGGTATTCTTGGTAAGGCCTTAACTTCTCTTTCTTGGTTTGTCATTCTCCTTTTACTTGGCAAATGATCAGTATTGAGTCTCCATACATATCTATCTTTCTGATGTTTAGCTCTAATGCAACCTCTAAGCCAAGAATACAAGCTTCATACTCAGCCGTGTTGTTGGTGTACCCGAACTGCAGCTTAACTGAAACTGGATACTGCTTCCTATCAGGAGAGATTATCACCGTACCTGCTCCATTACCACATACATTTATAGCACCATCAAAGTACATAATCCACCAATCTGATTTCTCTTCCTCGATTGCAAGCACATCTTCATTAGGAAAGTCAAAGTCTAATGACTCATAATCTTCCATAGCATGGTCAACCAAGTGATCGGCAATAACACTCCCTTTTACGACTTTCCTTGTCATATATACTATGTCATACTCAGCTAATAGAACTTGCCATCTTGCAATTCGGCTTGATAAATAGGGCTTTTCACAAATGTACCTCAACGAGTCTAATTTGGAAATTAACCACGTAGTGTGATACAACATATACTGAAGTAATCTCTTTGCAGCTTATGTCAGTGCGCAACACAGCTTCTCAATCACAGTATACCTAGACTCACATTCCGTGAACTTCTTGCTCAGGTAATAAATGGCCCTGTCCTTCCTTCCGGTTTCATCGTGTTGCCCAAACACACATCCCATTGCTATTTTTGTTACTGTTAGGTACAATATCAATGGCATTGCTATTTTTGTTACTGTTAGGTACAATATCAATGGCCTTTCTGGTACAGGAGGAACAAGCAAGGATGGATTCAATAAGTATTGCTTGATATTCTCAAAGGCCTCTTCGCACTCTTCATTCCAAATTCCTGGGTTCTTCTTCCTTAACAAACAAAAGATTGGGTCACAGGTCATGGTTAATTGGGATATAAACCGAGCAATGTAATTCAACCTTCCTATGAAACCTCTCACATCCTTCTCAGTCTTGGGAGGTGGCATAGATTGAATAGCTTTTACTTTGTTGGGATCAACTTCTATCCCTTTGTCACTCACCACAAATCCCAACAACTTCCCAGATTTCACCCCGAACGAACACTTCGCCAGGTTAAGCCTCAACTTATATTTCCTTAGTCTTTAAAACAATTTCTTTAATATTTGGACATGATTTTCTCCCTCTCTAGATTTAGCAATCATGTCATCCACATATATTTCAATCTCTTTGTGCATCATGTTGTGAAACAAAGTCACCATAGCCTTTTGGTAGGTGGCCCCGGTATTCTTTAAACCAAAAGGCATGACTTTGTAGCAAAAGGTTTCCCATGGTGTTACAAAGGTTGTCTTCTCCTTATCCTCTTGTACCATTTTTATCTGATTGTATTTTAAAAACCCATCCATAAAGGAATATGTGGAGCTGTGTGCTGCTGATTAGTACTTAAAAATGTATTTTTATCATGGTTTTATATCATCATTTTGCACTTGAAGTATCAATAACTCCTTAACCAAAGCATGTTTTATAATACTATATCTAATAATATAAGATACCTTTAATTTGTGGTAAATGTTCATTTTAAATGCAGGCCTATCACATAAATGAAAGGATTGATTAATGACTTTAAGAACTTAAATTGCAAGGATAAAGAGATGGCCAAACTTAGAAAAGAGATGTCGGTGCAATTCAAACCGGAACACTGTTTGGTAATTGGGTCATATCTAGAGCTATATATCTCCGATTTAGTTCCAATTTATATGGATGGAAAGGTAAGACATAGGCCTACAACTTTCATATGGAGCCCAAGATCTAAAAAGGTCATTTTCAAGTCCAAATTGTAGCAACAACAACAAAGCCCGAATCTGTCTTCCAGCCCGAGCACTGTTCAGTAGTTTGGCCATATCTGGAGTTCTAGAAGTCCAAATGAGCTGAATGTTTTACACAAGCAAGCTGAGACAATTGCCTACAACTTTCATGTTTGCAACTGGCTCCAATTGTGACGTTATCAATGACATTTTGGGCAGACAAGAGAAGATAAGGATTGTCACCAAGTCAAAAGTTGGCCACCCACTTATCAATTAGTCATCAAATCAATAGTTCCCAATTTTGGCCTATAAAGGAGGCATTTGCCATGCATTTAGGCATCTTGGTGTCCAGATCAAGATCATGCTCTTCCTTTCTCTCTTTGTATTTTTTGTAATGTTTATACTTTGCTTTCATTAATATTAAGTTTATGCCTTTCATTTCCTTTCCTTTACTTAGTTAACTTTTATGTTCTTATTTTGTTTATCTATTTTGCTTTCTTTCATTATGTCTAGCTAAGTTAGTTATGTTAAGGTGAAAAGGTTACACTAATGGTGTAAGAATAAGTATAATGTAAACTTAATATGGACTTTAATGTTTGATACTAACATATTTTATATTTGTTATCTTATTCACTCTTTAATACTTTGCTTGTTAAATTATTAATCTTGATTTATGATGTATAACACTTGGTACAACAAATGCTTGGCTCTTTCATAGCCCATAATGTATGGTATAACCGACACCTGAGCTATGAAAGGAACTTGATTTGTTGTTAACATAAGTTATAATCATGAATGCTTGACGAGATTTACAAGGATTAGCATTAATTGAATAAGATGACTAATGTAATCATGTTAACAATATATAATCTGATTGGAACCTCCTTTGTGTGTGGTTTCCAATTCAATAATAAGAGTTTATATTATACTTGTTTGATATACCATTAGTGGAACCTCTAACCTTGACATTTGTTATTATTATTGTTTAATCCTTACATTAATTTTCCATCTCCAAGTTCTCATCATCATCTTCTTCTTCTCTTTCTTTATTATTATTATTATTATTACTACTACTATTATTACTACTATTACTACTACTAATACTACTACTACTATTATTATTATTATTATTATTATTATTATTATTGTTGTTGTTGTTGTTGTTGTTGTTGTTGTTGTTGTTGTTGTTGTTGTTGTTGTTGTTGTTGTTGTTATTGTTATTGTTGTTGTACTATTATCGTTTATAATTTGTACAATTAACCTCCATGTGGTTCGACCCCGGTCTTGCCGGGTTATTTATTACTTCGACATTCCTGCACTTGGGAGAAGACATCAATCTTTTTGTCGTGTCAGCTGCATTATCAACTAACGTATCTAAGTGTGGTAGAGGGAGATTATCTTTAAGGCTAGCCCGGTTTAAGTCCCTAAAATCCACACAAACTCTGATTTTACCTTTCTTTTTGGGTACCACCACTATGTTTGACACCCATTATGGATACTTGACTACTTCCAAAAAACCAGCGTTCTATTGTTTTTTAATTTCTGCTTTTACTTTGATTAAGACCTCTGGATGAGTTCTCCTCAACTTCTGCTTAATCAGTTTGCATCTTCCACTAGTGGTATCCTATGTACTACAATATCCGTATCCAAACCAGGTATATCCTTATAGGACCAGGCAAAGGCATCTATATAATCTCGGAGCAGTGCAATCAATTCTTCTTTCTCTTCAGGGGTGATCAATGTCCCTATTTTCAGCTCTCTCTTGATTTCTTCATTACCTATATTTATGGTTTCAAGTTCCTCTTTAATGGGTCTCTAAGCCTGTTCATGTTGTTCTATTAATTTTGTAAATTCCCTTATGTTTTTCTTCTCCCATTCTTCATCTTCTATAGCTACTATGTATTCTTTAAAGTTTGGCCATTCATTCTCAATGTAAAGTGTAGGTGTTGTTGTGGAAGATCCGCTTTCAGGGTTCCTGAAAGTAGAAAGTGATGTGTAAATGCATATTAAGACATCAAGATGAAAATTTGAAAAAAAATGCATGATCTCGTTAAAAGGAAAAGATTGGCTCAAAAAAAATAATCCAATTGACATCTTGAGCTTCGATTGTCAATGAATAAAACCAAAACAAAAGAAAAAGGCAACCAATCATAAATAAAGTTATAATCCAACAATCATTGTTGATTACATTTTGAAAACCAATGGAGCTTTTTAGGTCTCCCAATTCTGGAACTTCTCTCCTTCGGCTAGCTTTTGAATGAAAGTTCTGGCAGTAACTTCTTCCAAAGTGTAGATGGTTAATTGCGGCAACTATTCATCCTTTGTTCCAGATTCAAACTTCTCAGCGACGTCCTCGACTTGATCTTCCTCCAGACTATTTATATTTATTGAAGAAAGCTTCTGAAGGAGGTTTTTACGTCCCTTATCAGGCTGCATCATGTATGCAGCCTTTGGAAAAGAAATCTTGATAGGAGGGATGGCTAAGCTCTCTTCTTCAGGCTTTCTTCCTTCAATTCTCGCCATTCTCTTCTCCCTTCTTGCACCAACAGCTCGCTTGTAATCCTACTTCTTAGGCTTATATCCAAGCCCAAACCTCTATTCTACAGCTTTGAGCTTGATTATATCAATCAACTCAAGTTTTCCTTTCTCGATATCATATGGGAAAGGAATCTTGTGCTTCAAAAAGCTTTTAGCGGCCATTTTGGCAGCCTTTGAAATTTCTGGTTTCCTTACCACAGTGTTCTCAGGCACCCACTTGGTATTCACAACCTCAAATGCATGAAGATTTCCATCCTTACACTCTTCAACTTCAATGAATGGAACTGCCACATTTCTTACCATTGATATAGTCTCCTCAACCTTAACAGTCACCAGAACACCATTAGCAATGTACTTCAAACATTGATGCAACGAGGAAGGGACAACTCCTGCAGAATGTATCCATGGCCTTCCTAACAACATGCTATAGGAAGGGTGAATATCCATCACTTGAAGGGTTACTAGAAAGACTTGTGGACCCACAACTAGTTCAACCTCAATTGTCCCTATCACTTTCCTTGGCGAGCCATCGTACGCTCTAGCCATCATCACACTAGGTTGCATGTGTGAGGGATCTACCAGCATTTCATCCAGCATATGTCTTGGTTACATATTAAGGGCTGAGTCGTTATCGATGAGAACTTTACTGATGAGACAATCTTTACATCGTACCATGACATACAAAGGCTTATTGTGTCCTGTTCCTTTAGCGTCAAGTTCATCTTCCATGAAATATAGGTAATTGGCAACATAGATCCTCCCTACTAGATGCTCCATAGTCTTTTGTTCAATATCTTGGGGTACATAGGCCTCATTCAGTACTTTTTGCAAAGCATTACGATGCGGCTCGGAGCTGAGTATTAATGACATGATGGAGATCTTGGCAGGGGTCTTCTTTAATTGATCCACTATACAATACTCACTATGCTTTATCAATTTCAAGAACTCATTTGTTTCTTCCTCAGTCACAGGTTTATTTACCTCAAAATCTTTATTTAGGTCCAACACCTCCTTGCCCTTAGCCTTTCTTTGCTTCTTTAGTTCTTCAGGTGTGAAACAACGACCACTCCGAGTTAGCCCACTTATCTCAGTTTGAAACAACGACAAAGGAGTTTCGACATTCAAGGTATAACCATAATCTCCAGGAATCGCTCCATAGTCTACTTTGTTTACATATGAGGGCTTAGTTAATACCAGTTTCGAGAGCCCAATACCAATTTCGAGAGCCCATTAGCCGTTGATTGGACTCTGCATTTCCCCTGATTCTCTATTATCTATATCTCTTCATTATCTATTACAGCCTCAATCCTTAGCTCTTCTAAAGTTAGCGTTCTCGCAACCTTTCGATGAAACTTAATGCATTCATCAATAGGATGCCCTTTCTTTTTATGGAATAGGAAAAAATAATTTTTCCTCATGCAATATTCAGATGGTTTCTCCAAATGTCTAAATTGTACCAACATCTCGCACAACCATGGTCACTCTTAGCACCTTTTCTTTGCTACCAACCTCCATAGTATTCACTCCACTACCACCTACAGCATGTTTGGGTAGAGGGTTTGAATTCACATTAGGAAAATCTTCAAAAGTAACCCATTCGATTTTGATTAGTTGTGATACCCTCTTCTTAAAAGCCACGCAGTTCTTGATGCTATGACCCGCATTACCAGCATGGTATTCACAAGTCAACTCGAGGTTGTACCAAGTACGGAAAGGCGGTTGCATAGGCGGTAATGGTAACGGAGCTATCTGTCCAATACTTAGCAACTTGGCATATAACTCCTTTAGGGTTATTGGCAACGGTGGTAATTGTTCTTCTAGTTGTTAGTTGTCTCTCCTTTGGTAACTGTTTTGGTTGCTAGTAGGGAATTTTGTTTGATAGGGTTGGTTTGGCATAGAGGGTTTGTAAAAGTTAATGCTGGTGATTTAGGAGGTATGTTTGGTAGTTTTAGTAGTTTATTCCTTTCCCTTGGTACCTGCCTTCTAAGTTATTCACCTCGGTTTCCTTTTTCTTCCTAAAAAAACCCTTC